AGCCACCGTCACCATGTCTGAACAGGAGGCAAAACCTTCCACGGAAGACGGGGATAAGAAGGAAAAAGAATACATCAAACTCAAAGTCTTTGGACAGGATAGCAGTGAGATCCACTTCAAGGTGAAAATGAAAACACATCTCAAGAGACTCAGAGAATCAGACTGTCAGAGACAGGGAGTTCCAACAAATTCACTCAGGTTTCTCTTTGAAGGTCAGAGAACTGCTGATACTCACACTCCAGAAGAACTGGGAGCAGAGGAAGATGTGATGGAAGCTTATCAGGACCAAACAGGGTCATTCAACAGTCTAGATATTCTTTTAATTTTCCCGTAATCCTTTTTTATTTCTGAAAATAGTTCTTTTGGAATGTGGTGTTAAAAATGGAATTGAACGCTGGCACCTCTCTTGCAAGCATCTGGCATTTGGAATCCTAGTGCCCGTTATTCATCAGCGTTGTTCTCGTTGTGCGACATTGGTGATCAAGCCTCAGCCCCCTTCCTGATGCCTTCCTCTTCTGCACAGTGACATGTGCACAGAGAGGTCACCTTGGGACCGACCAGTGCAAGTGTGCACAGTGACGTTCCCATTGGCCCTGAACTTACAGCTTGTCTGTCATTGCTTCACTCCTGGACTAAGGTTTTCAGTGGGAGATGGGAGTTGTTCAGAGAATTGAACTGTGGGGAAATGACTTTTCCTTAATTTAAATTTTTTTTAACAAATCCTTTTATTGGGTGCTCTTATAGCTCCTATAACAATCCGTATGTCAATTGTATCAAGCACCTTTGATGTCCTTAATGTTTGAAGCTTTAAAAATCCGAGAGGCTGGACCAGCAGAAGAGACATGTCCGATGTGAGTCCTGGTGACAAATGGCAGAGTAATGACTGACTCCAAAGATGGCCTCACTGAAGAGAGAAAGGGAGCAGTTTAAGATGAAAACGAAGATCTTGTCAGAAGATCCTAGAAAAGCTCCAAATTTAATTGGCAGTTAGTAAAGCTGTTCATGCAGAAGTGTCTTCAGCAGAACACTACTCTTTTCATTTGTGCTTTGTGGCCTGTGATTAGGGGCTTTAAGTGGACATTGTCTGTCCCCGCCTCATTAAAAACAACAAAATATTTGCAAAAGCCATACTAATGTTCATGTTCTTTTTAATTGCATGGAAATACAGAACTAAAATGCCCACACCATGATATTTTCTTGGCTACTGATGGAAGTCATTGTTTGCACATGGCACAAGGACACTTTTTCGTCAGCTCTGTACGGTGATAATATTAACGACTTGAAATACTGAAAGTTACTGATCAGGCTCAAAGAAGGCCACACGATCTTTTTAAATGTTAGTGTTCTGTTCTTTAAAAAAACTTGATGATACCGTACTGCAATTGCCCAAACATGTTGATATTTTTATTGAAAAGAGTACAGCCTTGGCAACCCTAGGAGCTCTGGTGGTGAAGTGGTTACACATTGGGCTGTGATTCACATGGTCGGCAGTTCGAAACCACCAGCAGTTCCCTAGGAGAAAGACTGGGCTTTCTACTCCTGCAAACAGTTACCGTTTCGAAACGCACAGGGGGTCGCTCTGAGTCAGCATTGACTCAATGGGAGTGAGTTTGGAAACACTACAAGACTGTTCTACTGCATCCGAGGGAGTTGCTAGGAATCAGAATTGATGCAATAGCAGTGAGTTTAAGCATATAATCCTGTGTGTTTAATTCGAGACAGAGAAAGTATGTGCCCAGGTAGCATAGAGTGTTAGGTATTGAGCTGCCAGCCACAAGATTAGAAGTTCAAATCCACCACCTGCTCAAGGGGAACAAGGAGGCTGTCTGCTCTCATAAGGTTTTGCGTCTCAGAAAGCCTATATGGGATAATTACGAATCAGAATTGACTCAGTGGTCGTGAGTTTATGTATTTATATGTGTGTGGGAATTCACTCAATCGCAATAAGGTAGATACCGATTTTTTTAGAAAAAACCTTTTGCCAAACAAGAAGGTAAGAATTATAGAGTTTGGTTACAACTGAATCAAAATTTGAAATAAAATGAAGACTAAATCCCAAGTAAAATAAACTTCAGTATTACTCTAAACACCGTGGGCAGCTAACAAACGTGTATTAATGAATAAGAAACCGCACCAAGTGAACCGCAGTTTACCTTAATACACCTGTTGCAGACTTAAGAACGGATACATTTCTTTGAATGTAAAGCTGTAACGCCCTAGTGAGAGAAGAGGAGGACTGCTACCCACGGTCGTGGATTTGGACATCATTGGACTTCGGTTCAAACCTCTAGCTTTTGAGATTGCCCAATAGTAGGCAACTTAAGACTACCATGTATTCACCACGTTCATATTTTGTCAGTTTTTAAGACTTACCTGAGTTCTACAGACATACTTTTGCTGTGGTGAATGACCGTTGTTGAGTTTTATGCCCTGTATGTAATCCTCACTGCATGCTTAAACAGGATTAAGGCACCTAAGTTTTTAAAGATATATAAATGCACATCCATGTATGTTAGTCTAAAAAGCTTTCCCATATATAAATATTCCCTTTATACAAGTACTATTTTAAATTCTATATCATTTGCTAGTTTAAGGATACTATTAGTAGAATTACCAAGGCCTGATGGAGGTTACTTATATAATCTCTTTAAAAGCTTATAATGCTGCCAACGAAGTGCAATGGTATATATATATGTATATATATATATATATATATATATATATATATATATACCTTATTAGGTGTTTGAATGGACTTTGAGCTCCACTTAACCATAAACCCTATCTAAGAATAATCAGTTCATACAACGTGGCCCTGCTCAATACTTACCCTCATGAAGATAGGGGTGCTATCGCTAACTGTGGTGAAAAAATCAAATGGTGCCCAGGTATCAGAAAGAATACCATCTGGGGTCCTAAAAACTTGTCTTAAAACAAGCAGCCATCTAAGTGAGGTATTGCACACCATACTGTGTGATCCAAGGTTTGTAAATAATAAAATCCAAGATCAGAGGAGGAAATTGTATCAGAGCTTAAATCCTAGCACTAGAACACAGTATAAGCCCAATCATTATTCATTTGCAGAGTCCCCACTGGAATTAAGCCTCCCTTGAATTCCTTGAGAGCCTTGACCAGGGATGTGAATAGCCTTGCCCGCAAACAAAACCATCAGAAAGTGAATGAATACATATACAGCTAGGTTAAAATTTAAAACCATTTTTTTCCATTTTGACCTATTTTGAATGTGTTCCAGTTTTATTATGTTCTACCTTATTGTGGATTGACGTCTTTTATTTGTTGTTGTTGGGCAGTGGGGGGACTGTTTGGTTTTCTTTATATGAAATCCACCCTAGGTAAATCCATACAGACAGTAACCAGATTACTAGTTTCTTAGAGTTATGGCAGGGGAAGTTGGGGGATAATAAACGACAGTGAGTACAAAAAGGAAGAAAATGTTCTCAAATTGATTGTGGTGATGATTGCACAGCTCATTCAATGTACTCAAACCACTGCATGGTGTGGCATATAAGTTATATGTCAATAAAACTGTTGTTTTCTTTTTAAGTGGATTGCTGCCGCTCCCCAAGTCATCCTGGAGAGGGGCAGTCCCTGAAGGGTCGGTGGGCCCTGAACCAATTTTAGGAGCTTTTCTAATCTCCAATAGTGTGTGCATCCCAATGACGGTCCCTCTCCCGCGTCTGTAAACCCACCTGCACTAATTGACTAGTCTTTGTGACACTTTCCTTTTTCCTCCATGCCCTGCTTCAGCCGCCGAGTGACTGTGAGCCATTGATCTGCATGATTTATTTGTGTCCCTCTGTTGTCTTTGTTTAAGACTTCATGAATGTGTATCTATAAAGAACGTTAGCCGAGGTAGCGTGTGTCAAGTCCATGATTGACAGGAGTCCTCCTCCAGTAGCCTACACAGGGGGTCACCATGACTTGGGAGTAGGCTTGATGGCAACTAACCACAGCAGCGTCCGACAGACCTCGTCTTACGTACAAACCAAAAGTACAGCATGTCTGAACCCTTTTCCTTCATTCACTGCCACGTTCTTCATAATAGAAGCTAAACAACAGCGGGGAAACTCTTTCAACCAGAGAAGGAACAAATTATTGTGCTGATAATACGTTCGCCTGTGGGGAGGCTTATAGCTAGTAGAAAGGCATGCTCTGAATACAACGCAATCATTGAGAAGGTGCTTCAAATATGGTAAAGTGTGTCTTTGGGGCGGGGGGTATTTAGTGGACAAAGCGGGTGAGGGGGCACACACACACAAAGTCAATCCTATTAATGCACGCCGACAGACTGCTCCCTCTGTTCCCAGTGCCCTCTTTGGACTGATATATCGACCCAGGGACTTTGCTTCCTACATGCTGGGCATCTTCATCTGCAACCTGCTGCTCTACCTGGCCTTCTACATCATCATGAAGGTAAGAGTGGGTGCTGGGAGCTGGGCAGTGCCCCGGGCTCCACCCGGCAGTGAGGGCAGCTTTGCCACAGTCCACGTCTCACCCCCCAGCTCCGCAGCGCAGAGAAGGTCCTCCTGGTGCCGCTCTTCTGCATCGTGGCCACCGCCGTGGTGTGGTCTGCCGCCCTCTACTTTTTCTTCCAGAATCTCAGCAGCTGGGAGGTAAGAGGACGGTGCTCTGCTCCACAAAGATGTTTCCGCTCCATCTGTAGCTCCTGGGCCTTCCGACCTCCCTCGTTTCATGTGTTTGTTGCTACTCATCCGGTTACTTTCTCTGAAATAAAGGCTTCCTCACCAAGGGATGGGTTTGGATTTCAGCACTTAAATGGCATTGTGATCAGGGTAGCCCCTCCTACCTAGGTAAGCCCTGCGGAGACCGGTTTCCCCCCAATGGATTCTGCCTCATGACCACCCATGGGAGAACCGTACCCCAGAGGGTTTTTAGGAGCTGGTGTTTCAGAAGTAGATCAGCAGGTCTTTCTTCCAAGGCACCTCTGAGTGCACTCGACCCTCTCATCCTTCCATTGGCAGCAGGGGCATGAACCCATTGGCATCACCTGGGGGCTCTGTAACCTGTACAGACACTGGAAATATGAGCCTCGTCATGTATTATGTGACGGCCCTGTTCCCAGTGGATGTATAACGAGGATAGAAATATCGATTCATCCACCAGTCTTAGCCTAATCATACTCCATTCACAAACGCCCACAGGCAGATGTGTGTGTGCCCATTTCACAGATAGGAAAGCTGAGGCCTAGGAAAGCCATGCTGGATCGGAGACACAGAGCTGAGGGGGAGACTCGGTGCTCCAGACACATGTTCACACTTCCCTGGACTCTCTTGTGCCCTGTGATGGAGACGCTGTGCTCCTCTGCCCATCTCTCGTTCCCTCAAAGCCCCAGGCCTCCCACCTTATTCATCAGAAAAGCTAGAAAACGCCTTCAAAAAGGCTTTTCCTGGTCTGTAACACCCTAGTCACATGCTTGGGAGTCGATCTGTAAACTAACTTATAAAAACCAACAACTTTTTGAAAAATACAGTTCACCTACCGTACAGCTCATCCTTTCAAAATATAGAATTAAATGGCTTTTAGTACATCCCCAGAGTTGTGCGACCCTCGCCACAATTGATCGGACATTTCCCAGAATCCCCAAAAGTAACTTCATACCATTAAATAGTCACTATACATCTTCCTTCAGATACCCCCCATTACACACACACACGCCCACCTCAGCCCTAAGCAACCACTTTGTGTCTATGTGGATTTACCTATCCTGAATATTTTATACTAGTGGGATCATACAAGTGTAGTCTTTTGTGTCTGCCTTCTCTCACTTAGTATGTTGTCACGGGTCTGCGATGCGGTAGCGGGCATCCATACTTCATTTAACTGCCAAATAACGTCGATGTGGGTAGATATGCCAGAGTTTAGGGACCCACTCCGCGGTTCGTGGACATTTGGAATGTTCCACTTTTTTGAGTGATGCTGCTATAAACGCGCACACAGAGGGTTTTATGTGAACCCACCTATGCTCACAGAAGTTAACATTTCCAGCCAGATGTTTGTAGCTTCCTGGATTACTTATCCCTCTAACACACAGCAGACTTGTGGGAACTCCCGCCTCCCCTTCCTGCAGGGCACCCCAGCAGAATCCCGAGAGAAGAACAGAGAGTGCATCCTCCTGGATTTCTTTGATGACCACGACATCTGGCACTTCCTCTCTGCTACTGCCCTGTTTTTCTCCTTCTTGGTGAGTTTTTTATCTCTTCCCACTTGACAGCCTGTACTTTATTTTTCCCATCTTCCTTGTATGTCTCTTGTATGTCCCTTTCCAGTGAACTTGAGCAGTCGCTGGTGGGTAGACTCCCGCTGATAACACCCACCCCCTGCCCCCAGGTGTTAGACTAGAGCTGTGTCTGCTCCTTTGGGTGGTCAGTGGCAGACTTTTCGGAAGTGCGTGGCCAGGCCATTCTCCCAGGCGCTTCTGTGAGGCTCAAACTGCCAACCTCTGGACTAGCAGCCGAGCAAATGCATAACCATTTGCACCACCCAGAGACTCCTCCCTTTCCAGTGCCTCGTTGTTCCTCAGTAAGCATCCCGTTTTATTTCTTCTTTAAATTGGATCATTCCATTCGATCTTTAATTTCATTTTCCTTTGACGCCAATATAATGAAGCAGAAAATGTTAAAGTGGTTTTCCCTGTGTGGCACTGCACAAGTGGACTGAATGCGTATCAGAGGACACCTTCCCAGAATTCCCTCCAACCATCTCACTAAAATGTGGATAACGTTCGGTTCTTTGTGCTTGAGCCGTGCTCACTGTTCTTAACTCTCATTGGATATTTCACAGTTCATGGAGTGGCTCAGGAGACACCGCAGCTCGGCTGCCTTCTACCCAGTCCGATTGCTCCGTCTTTTGACCAAACACCTGCCCAGAAGCCACACGCGTTTAAAAACCCTGGATAATAATGTTCAGGGTCCTTTCATCTTAATTTTGCTTTTTGCACATTAAAAGCCTGCAGCACCCATGCACAAGGTCAAGGGACAAGGAACAAGACTAGGCTTCCTGGGCTCCCCAAGCAGTTTGGTTTTAGCTGGTTCGGAGCAGGCATGTAATCTCAAGAGTAGAGCAGCGCTCCCCCCTAGTGGCCGCAGTGGGACGTTAACGGTCTAAGCATGGATCCTTAAAGCTTTTGATTTTGATAATCACCTTTGTTAGAGATGTAGCACAAGTGGAGTTAAGGGTACGTTGTGGAGAGAATGATGGTAGAGGTAAGTGAGATTGGAGAGTAAGGAGGGACAGTTCTTTTTTTAAAAAATCATTTTATTAGGGGCTCATACAACTCTTATCACAATCCATACATACATCAATTGTGTAAAGCACATTTGTACATT